CAGTTTGTGTTTGGGAGTTTTTGGAAGTTTGGTGCACACGAAATCGAAAGTCGCTTGAGAGTTATGTTCCGCTTCTGCCCGACAAGGGGCGAGGGCAAGCCCATGCATTCATAGTCAAGTTTAGGGTGTAGACCCTATAAGGAACTAGGACTACATTACTCCTGTAGTCTAGGGCTCCCCAAAATGGCTTCTTTTTTCCACAAAACTAGGGGAAGCATCATTACGTGGTAACTTGCAATAATCGTCTGCAGCATACTAGTAGCCTGAAGCAGGGAACTCGTGCGGCATCGACACCACCTCCGAAACCACTCAGACCGACCAACTTCAGACTACTGCAGCAGGTTGCCGAGCATCGAAACCTTCTCGCCCTGAAAGCAGAGCAGGCAGATATTGGCCAGCGGGTGCCCAAGAGCTCTGTCTTCCGCATGTTTGAAGACTGAAGGGAAGAATTGAAAAGAGAGAGAGAGAGAGTATAAACCACTTTGGGCAAGGTTGCAAAATAACTTAAACTGTGCAGGCTTCTCAGCACCGACCGATGTTGCGGTTAGAAAATATTAGCCAATAGCTATGCGAGGTTATTTGGTTCAACAGTGCTGCCAAGGAGCCCTTCAACCCGAAGGGCACGGAGGGAGAGAGAGATTGATATCCCTCTTGTCCCTAGCCCTGGCGAAAGAGAGAGAGAGAGAGAGAGAGACAGAGAGACAGAGAGAGAGAGAGAGATATACATATATATATATATATATGTATATATATATATATATATTCTTAGCCATTTTGGCTCAAGGCCGTGACTGTTCAAGGACGTGGGGGGCCTCTTCCGCCCTTCCTCTTTCTTCTCTCCTTTCGAACTTGGGGGCCCCCCCCGATCCTCAACCCGGGCGCTTGCATCCGCTCGCTCCGCCGCTTCTTTCCTTTGCAGCTCATCTTCGAGGTGAACCCTGAACGAGCCCATCGCTTCTGCCGGGGAGATCTTTGTGCATCGTCCCGGTTCGGTGTCTGTGCGCAGAAGCTTAGGGACTTTGTCAAACCTCGGCAAGTACAGCATCGGCGACCCTACTCAACCTCGGTAATGTCCCCCACTTCTGAAGCCCCTGATGCCCTTGCAGCCCCCGGCGGAGAACGCCGACGCCGACGCCGATCAAGAAGCTGTGGCCATGACCGTGACCGACGACGACGACGCCGCAGGCATGCAACTGGAGATCCACAACCGGACCCAGGAGACGACCGGGGCATCCCCGAAGCCGAGGACTTAAATGATGCAGCTGATGACAGGGTCCAGATTTCCTGGTGGACATGCTGGGGCCAGATGCCATAACTGCACATGGGGGCAACCCCGTACAATGCCAATGGTGGATCCAGTTCGAGCCTTTGCGAGCCCACCAGCTGCCCTCATACCGCCTCCACTACCAAAACAGGAAGCTGCTTCCTCCACCCGAACAAGGACCTCTTGTACTTCCGCTACGGCACCTTGCCCATCTTCTTCCTCGCATAGACCGACTGTGGTGCGGGGAATCACCCCGCAAGAAGCAGGTGCAGCAAGGGCCATCCCATCGGAACCGCGGGAGCCCATACCGGCTAACACGCAAAGGCTGGGGATGAACCCTCTGAAGCCCAAGGCTCGAATACTACCGGATGCCATGGACACCACCAAGGAAGACAACCTCCCCTCCCCCCCTCCCCCGTCCTCTGCCAAGGCGCCAGGACCACAACTACTACCGAAGCGGTTTAGCACCGAGGAGCAAGAAGCAGCTACGGGTGACACCTTTGCAACAGGGGCGGATCCAGTACCCTCTGGCCGACCGGGAGACGACAATCCCAGGGGCAACACCTTGGAGATGAAGCCCCACCGGACTCCGAGAATGCCGCTGGACAAGGCGCCACCACGCAGGAGGTTGCCTCGGGGAGCCACCCCGGAGATGCTGCTCGGCCTTCACCAACGGGGGCACCTCCAACCTTGACTCCAGGACAACGTAATCGATTACATCAACTGCTCCAGGAAAGGGATGACCAGGGGGCGGTCCCCTACGGCTTGGACCAGTGCGATACAGCTGAAGAAATGTGGCGAGCCTATCGGTCCGCTACCAAGGCCGAGTGCGCAAAGATGACGAGAGGGCGCGGCGCACCGCCGCCAGAGCAACTGAGAGGCTGACCTTAGGGCTCTTTCGGGGAAAATCCCCGCAACTTTCCTGGGCGACCCTGGAAAAATCGGTGAGCTTTCGAGGACACTCCCCGTTACGCCTGTTTCTTCTGGTTGTAGGTTGTTGTTTGTTGCTGGGGTTTCGTCTTTCGGCAGTCGCAATAGGCCCGGATGCAAAAAGGATCCGAGGAATCCGAGGTCCCTGTTTGGGGTCGAGTTGGCATGTTTTTGCGACATGACTAGTGCCGCCTCTCTCCTTTGGAATCGACTCAACATCGGGGGTTCAACCCTCTTAGTCCACTCGTGCAAGTTTTTAGTTGACGGGCCGCTGGAGCCATCCATTTCAGTCATTGCCGGCCTCCGCTCGAGGCATCTGTACCATAAGATCGGGGACACCCCCCGCTGTATCAGGCTTCGATAATTACAAGCACCGGGGCTATCACGTATC